ATGCGATCCCACTATGTCATTGATGAAGATATTAGAGTACTGTTCCCACAGCAGCCTTCTGAGGGACACCACTCATCACTGATCTCCATCTGGACACTGAGCCATTGACCATACTTTCTGGATGGCACCATCCAACCAACTCCTCATCCACCTCACAGTCCACCCATCAAATCCATACCTCTCCAATTTAGAGAGACGGATGTTGTGGGGGACCGTTTCAAAGACCACTTTGTCATCCAGATAGCTGACATCCATAGTTCTTCCCTTTTCCACTGATGTGGTCATCATAGAAGGCCACGAGGTTTGTCGGGCAGGACTTGCCCCTGGTGAAGCCACGCTGGCTGTCTCGAATCACCTCCCTGTCCTCCATGTACCTCCATCTAGGAGGATCTGTTCCATGATCTACCCAGGCACAGGGGTGAGGCTGACGGGTTGGTAGTTCCCAGGGTCCTCCTTGCTACCTTTTTAAAAAATGGGTGCAATGTTTCCCTTTTTCCAGTCACCGGGGACTTCACCTGACTGCCAGGACTTTTCAAGTATCATGGAGAGTGGCTTGGCAACTACAATTCCCTCAGGACTCTGGGATGCATCTCATCAGGTCCCATAAACTTGTGCATGTTCAGGTTCCTCAGGTGATCTTGAACCTGATCTTCTCTTACAGTGAAAGGGACTTTGCTTCCCCAGTACCAGTGTTGCAGTCCATCCGCTCAAGAGGTGTGGGAAGAGAGACTGCTATTGAAGACTGAGGGAAAGAAGTTGTTGAGTACCTCAGCCTTCTCCTCATCTGTTGTTACTAGTCTGCCAGTCTTGCTCATCGGGGTGGGGGATACGCTTCCTTGGACCTTCCTTTTCTGGCTGACATACATGTAGAAGCCCTCATCATTATTCTTTGAGTCCCTTGCCTAGTTCAGCTCCAGTGATGCCTTGGCCTTCTCAACCCCAGCCCTACACAACTGGGCAGCATCCCTGTACTCTTCCCGGGATACCTGTGCCTGCTTCTACTGCCTGTGTATTTCTCTCTTGCCCTTTAGTTTGCCCATCAGGTCTCTACTCATCCATGCCAGCCTCTTGCCTTCTTTTCCCGATTTCTTACACCTGGGGATTGAGAACTCTTGCGCTCTATGGAAAGCATTCTTAAAGATCTGCCAATTCTGTTCTGCTCCCTTGTCCCTGAGGGCAGTGTCCCAGGGGGTCCTATTGACTAACTCCCTGAACAGCTGGAATTTTGCTTTCCTAAAATTGAGGGTCCTGACTTTATTTTTTGCCTGCCCCATGCCCCTCAGGACTGTGAACTCCACCAGTGCATGATCACTGCAGCCCAGGCTGCGTCAAATCTTGAGGTCACCAATTAGCTCACTTTGACACTTTTTTGACAGGTATGAAAGAAATCAGCCATACTATCTACTTTACAAGGTATGGGAAAGGAATTTTGACATGAGTTAGAGAAGCACAACAAATACCAGGAAAGGTATAATGAAATGTTTGCTGTCACAATCAGCTTTTGTCGCTGTTCACAAGCATGCAGGATGGTCTGCAAAGAGACAATTAATAAGGATAAAAACATCCCCTTGGGTATCAAGAAAATATTAGATGCCATGGTGTGGCCAGATGTGATAGAAAACTGAAAAGGAAATACAGAATTGGAGGCTTTGACTCCTCTCCTGTATTCCTATGAGGTATTGGTACAAATCGTGCCTGGGCTATGGCCTGGAATCAGATGTACAGTCAAGCACATCCTTCAGTCGAAGTCAGTTAACAGCAACCAGAGGAAAGGGATATCTTATGCACCTCCAGCAATGTGTTTTTAAATAGGGTAAAACAATGCTTTGACTATTTTAAACAAACATCAGCTCTACAATCTGTAAGAAGAGACAGGCTTTGCATCTGCAACGGACATTGGCAGGTTAAACATTCTTCCCAACTATTCTGAACACCTGTAAGCATATGGTGGGCATAAAGCTTTAGCATTCTTCCAGTAGCACCACAGACATGGCTAAAAGAGAGCTGTGACCTCCGTAATTCAGATTAATTGCTTATTATGGGTATGAGGAGAGGTGCTGCGGGAGTACTACAGCCTCAAATAACAACTGAGAGCAGCCGTTTCAGCCAGTGTAATCCCCCGAGCCTGTGGGGCTGAGGCGCAGAGTGCTTTACCTCTGCAGCTATGCCTGTCCCTCTCTGGCTGCTGACAGTACAAGGATTCCAGCAGGGATCCGACTGCGTGTCACCTTCTCAAGGAGCTGCCCTGACTCATCGCTCTTTTGTATCGGTTACATATTTCTGCACATAAGGCTATAGCAAGACCCAAACCCATTTTAAGCCTAGCTTCTCATTTTTCTCTGTCAGTCTGTCAGAAAGCAACGATGGACCTCCAGCACTCAGTCCCTGGCCAGCATCACCACCAGCTCCCACTGCAGAAGGAGTGCGCGTTACCTGCCAGAAGTGCCTCACCGCAGGACATGGAGGGGGTGTGAGCTGCCTGCAGCATTTTCACTCAGGTTTGAGATTAGACAGTTTTGGCAATGGTTACATGGGGGTGATCATGGATTTCCAAATCTGCATAGGACTGCCAAGAAGCCCTCATCATATCATACCTAATTCTTGGTCATACTCAAGTTTAAGGGTACTCTGGGTTGGTCTGCAGACACCGATGGGGATAGAGTGAGATGGAGAGATCATGGATCACACATTCCCTGAACTGCAACAAATGCCTTCCCAGAGGGGAACTGCTTGGGCTCACCCATGCTGGTGTGCCCACCACCCAGACCCCACAGCCCCCGTCTGTCACCAGAGAGTCAGGAGCTGCAGAGAGGAGAGACACTGCACTACTTGGGAATGCAAGGAAGGATGTAGCAGCAGAAAGGTAATTGGGAAGGAGGGAATAAAAATCACCTTTGACATTCCCCTCCTCATAAATGTGCTCCATATCAAAGCCAAAGCAGCAGCCTGCCATGAGGAGCATTTTACTGAGAGCTCACCTAAATCAGCTGCGAGAAGTCCCCTCCCATGCTAGCAGCCTCCTTCCTCCCCCACGCTGTGCCACGAGCAGAGAGCACGGCATTGTGGTATGGATGTGCAGCCTCTGCTGCCTGCGCCCGTAAAGCATATAATGAAATAGGAGTTAAGACAGCAAGAGAGAGATCGGAGAGAGCAATACTGCACTGTGGCACTCCTGCACAGAACCCAGCAGGGGCAAACAGTACTCAGACTGAATTTGGTCTCCATTAGAGGATATCAGCTTTTTCTGGCTATGAACAGGTAACTGGAAATGATGGCTTAACGTTGTTTTCATCTCTCCTGTGGTTCAGCTCCCTAACTGGAAGGACAGTATATGGAACATTTTGCTTCTGTCTGAAATACAAAACATGGAGCACTGTTTCTGCAGTCAAATTCCCAAATCAAAACATCATAGTCATGATTCCCAATTCCGCTATTCAGCAAATTGCTGCAGTATATTCCTACAGAATAATTATTTGCACCAATCAGTTGCCAAACAGGGGTGCAAGGTGTTTAGAAGAAATGTGCTTGACTGACTTGACTGCGAAGATAGTGTTTAAACGGTTCGGGTGTTTAAAAACAAAAATAATTTTTTTTTTTTGTTTTGTAACCTGTCAGGTAACAGAAATAATTGCTTTGGTAAGCATGTTAGTTTACTATGTGTTAAATGCACACCAATTAAATTATTGAAACATAATACTGTGCAAGCAGTTTCCTCTCATATATTTTTAGAAGTATGGCTGCCTTCCTCCTCCCATCTCTGCTCTCTTTTTTCAGGTCTCTGGAGTGGCAGCAGGAGGTAGGTAGAATAGCCAGCCTCAAGCTCAGGATGCGACACGATGCCAGAGGCCAGGAGAAAGGAGGCAAGATCCACGTCACCTGCACAGCAGGCTGCAGTATCAATGCGATTCTTCCCACTGCCTTTGCTCCATTTCCCTTCTGTACCTTCCTGTTCGATTGCCGTGGCGAGAAGTGTGCCGTGTTAGCAGCAAAGGTCTGAGAGGACTGCTTTGTTGTGCTCCTTTTTGAAGCTTGCCTCATGTCAGACTCTGGTCTCTTGCCCACTGACACACTCTCCAAGATCTGGGTCCAAAGCAGCAGAGTGCATTTCTCCCTGACTCTGCCCGCTTTGTGGACAGAGGATTTTGCACTAGCATTCATGCTAAAAGTAATTTTACATCTTTTCAGATCACTTCAGTAAGAGTATGGCATTTTGTGCATTATATAAACCAATTCACTTAAACCCTACTTAACCAAAGTTCTTATTTCACCACATCCTCATTATGTCCTTAGGTGTCGACACAGTCTTCAGTTACTCTCTCTCAATGATATAATTCTTATCTCAATCATAGTGATGTTCCACAGTGTGTTGAATAACCAGGTTATAAACGAATGTTTTTAATGCAATTAGGAATATCGCACAGGTTGGAAATGAATTCCTAGTTAAGGCATTGATCTAACAGGGAATCATAAATGCGTTTTTAAGTTTGTGAGTCCTACGGAAAGCAAAATGATTATTCATATGATTAAAGTTAAGGTGACTTGTGAGAGCAGTAGGATGAGTGTAGGATGTCTGTTTAGATCCAGTTCAGAAAGATACTTAGAAACATGGCTAGCTGTAACCTATGAAACACTAAGCACTTAAAACACCACGTAAGGTCAGAAGGCAAAGGAAGATCACATAATGGCCAAATCTGTCATCTCTGTTTTTCTCCCAAATTTCTGCTCAATCTTACAATGAGTTTCATAACCCTAGCATAATAGCTTTTCACAATTTGAATAAATAATAGCAAATCATTAACAAAAATAATGGTAATAACAATGATAATAATAATTCCTTCTACCAAAGGGATAGTCAGGAAGCTTTCTCTAGCCTTCAAGATCACAAACAGCTATGGTTAAAAGTTGAAGAAGCGGGTGCACAAAGTAAACAATTTCTACTGATGGAAGATGAAGAAATCAAAGACATTTATTTATGTGCAATGTAAGATCTAATATGTCACCTTGCCGCCGCATTGGTGATTATTTTCAGACTGCTGGGATTACGGATCAGCTTATCCAGGATGCTGACAATCTGCTCAAACTTGGGTCTGTTGTTTCTGTCTTTCTGCCAACAGTCCAGCATCAGCTGATACAAGGCAGCTGGGCAGTCCATAGGAGGTGGCAAGCGGTACCCTTCATCAACAGCCTTAATCACCTGCACAAGGATAAAAGTTTTTGAAAACTTAAAGGCACTTAAATCAACTTGTTTTTATCAGTTCTGTGAACCACATTAACATGGACATTCTGTGTTTAAACAAATGTGTTTATTCACTAATTGTCTTGTTGTGCAATGCCTCTGGTTTATCTGCAAAGTAAACCAGACAGTAAATTAGGCATACAGAAAGGGGAGTTAAGATATATTATATGACTTTGAGGAAGGTGAGAGTGTAGAAAGGATCTCCAAAACTCACCCTCAATTGAACCAAATCCATAAACAAAAGCTACAGTTAGTAAGATGCTTGCTGAACTGTGCCAAACTTCAAAAGGTTTTGAATATCTCTCATCTGATCACCCTTAGCAACACACACTTTCCACACTCTCCAGTGGACACAGCACTGGGCAGAAAACCAACCTACTCTCTCACAGGACATCCTGAACTGACAGCCAGAAGGCCTTGTGGATGATCTCACAGGGACAGAAAATATTTTTAAAACTTACCACAAGGATAACTGTATGCTTCCTACTAGGCAGTGGAGGCCCAATTCTTTTATAATTTGTCTAGATTGACAAAATTTGTCTGGATTATCTGTCATTTGTCTAGACTGAAAAAGAAAAATCAGCCCAGAATTTACACTGTTATGAAGCTTTTTAATAAAACATTGTCACTAGAGTGTAACACCTCTTGATCAGTCCTACAGTATCTATTGCACCATGAATAAAAAACCCCATGTATTCTAGATTGAAAACGCTAAAGCCATATTCTGTTAATCTTCCCTCTTTATCTGGATCAGTTAATTCAAAAGCACGAAAAAATATTCTGAGTCAGAACAGGGATAGGAAAACAGTCCATGGTTTAAGCAGCCATGAAGCAGAGGCACACAAAAAGGTTAATCCTTCTGGTTTTGATTTTAATGTGATATTATTAAAGGTATTCCACTAGTATATCAGCCTATGTAACATGATTCATTAATATTGACAAACAATAGACAAAACGTTCACGACTAATTAAAAGAAATAAATAGTTTGCTGCAGAGACTTGAGTTCCAGAGGTACTCATCTGAAAGGAAGTTTTCTTCTCTTTTTCCTTGTTTAACATGAATTAGTACAGAGCATGTCTGACTACAACTATGTTACTGACTTTAAAATTAGGTACTAGTAACGATATATACCAACCCCTTGGAAAATCTACTTGTGTTAGTGTCTGTACTTCAGAAGACTTGGTATATAAGTAATGCCTGTGGAATAAATCTAGGATTAATAAGACAACAGAAAAAAGAACCCAAAATAGATACAATAAAATTCTTATTTGGGGAAATGTTATGCTTTACAAAAATACTGGGAGAGATCCATTAATCATTTAGATTGCAGGCTTGGATAGTTTACTAATGTTACAAAGAAGCCTGTATTGGAAGTCTTCTAATCAGATCACTCTACTTCTCTATTTTATCCGTTGATTACTTCCAGAAGTATTTTGGTTTCATTAAACTCCTAGTAGAAATGCTTTGCTTCTCTTTTTCACAAGCTCCATGCGCAATTTATTCTGTGTATTTGACATTTCCAGAAAACTTCTACAGAATATTATACAAAGTGGAACTAAAGGGGATCAACAGAAATTCAGGAGGGTTTTCTAACAACAAATTGAAGAATGTAAAAGGCAATGATCTCACTGCAGTGGAATTGTTTGAATCACGCTACAGAAAACCACCAGCATGATAAAATTCTCTAATATGTTCCTTCAGAGGTCCAAAATAGCCTGCCATAAAGATGCTGGCTTTTTGTTAAGTTCATTAGAACTTTTACTTGACCATGGAGATTTGGAGATTTTAATTTCTACATCTTATTCAATGTCAATGTCAAAAACCCAGAGCCACCTGGTTTCATTATGCTTCGCTTCCTTTCACAGCTTGATTTTTTACTTGAGAACATAACTCAGATAAGAATATACTCACATCCTGGTTGGACATCTCCCAGTATGGTCTCTCTCCATAAGACATCACCTCCCAGAGAACAATCCCATAGCTCCATGCATCACTGGCTGATGTGAACTTCCGATATGCAATGGCTTCTGGTGATGTCCATCGGATAGGAATCTTGCCCCCCTAGGAGCAAAATGAAATAAAACAGTCCATTTGACTGTAATACAAAGAATATAATTTTGCATGACTGATTACTTTAACTCAGATTCTCAGTTATCATTATATTGGGGTAAAAAACAGTGTAAGCTGGAAAATGCTGTTGAAATTTGCCGTGAAAGCATCTTCTACACTCTACAGAGTAAAATACATTACAGTGCAAAATCTACTGAATACAGCAGATATGGTATAGTATACCTACTGCACAGGGCAGAGTGCAAAAATGTCATCTGGGGAAGCGGTCTTCAGCATTTTTTACAGCCACAAGAGAAGCAGGCCATCATTAAATGATGTAAACTTGAAAAGAATGAAAGCTGCCATTACAATTAATATTGCAGTTAGGGGAATATCTCTCTCTGACTATGGCCAGCACTTGCTGCCATAGGTCAAATTAGTAAAATGCACAAAAGCAGCCTCAGGCTGACTTTCTGCAAGATGAGAATTAGAAGAGAGAGACAATTGCCAACAGTGCCAGCCTTGGCAGAGGTTTCTAAGACTCTGATTTGTGAGTCACATGTGCGAAAACAAAGTTCTAAAAGATAGCAGTGCAAAACTTGTTATTTAAGGTAATTCTGGAGTGAATATATTTGAATACAGAAAACTGTGAGAGTTCAAAGTTGCTTCTAGTTCCAGGGCTGCACAACATGTACAGGGATATATTCTGAAGATTTCATACCAGACTAGCTATTTGAGGTAATTCTGCAACCTCCATTATACTACAGTTATACATCTATGCTCACAATAACCTGTGTGGGAGGGGAGTGCTCTTATTTCCACTGAATAACCAGCAAGAAATAAAATGTAAAAATATTAATGCTTTGCCTACTCTTCCACAAAGTGCGCCTGCACTGAGGGTAGCCATACGCCCACCAGCTTTAGATTAACTAGTTTGGTTAACAATAGAAATGTGAACATTACTGTTAATTAGAAACCTAAATACAGCTTAAATACACTGGAGCCTAAGTATCTGCAATTTAATGGCTAATACTGCACAAATCAGATTAAACATAAGCAACACAGGCAGGCCTGACTCAGGCTACAATTTAGACCTCCAAAATGTCACTAGATATGTCTTAGATGCTTGGCAAAGGTCAGAGAGGGAATCTATCTTGGCATGCAGCTTTTATGGATCCCATCCTATTTATCAGACTCCCTAATTTAACCAAAAGGCAAACCTTCATTTCACACATAACCGTTAAAATCAGGTAAACACTGAATTTCAACATTACTTGTGGACCATCAAATAGGACATGGAAAATAAATAGCAGTACTTGAAAACACTGTTTCATCGCAGAAGCCAGACTAGAGAGCCTGATGTCTCTCTCTTTCAAACCTGGAAAACCGTAACGTATGTCCTTTAGTCACAAAAAGTACATTGTATTTTCTATTCATTGTAAGTTTATTAATAGTTCCCAAGTCTGCTCCATAACAGTACTAAGGACATAAAAAACATACTGTTTTCCTCATACGCTATTGAGAAGCAATAGTATACCCACTTTACAAAGGTCCGGGGTCCCTCAGTGAGTCCAAGGCCCAGCCAAGAAACAAGGGAGGCTCTCCTGGTTCCTAGTGTTCTCACAACAAATCCACTTACATTTTTAGATGTGGGGATGACAAAGAAATCAATCCCACTTTTTAATTGTTTTTCTATGCTTACTAGCGGAGTGAATTTTGTTTTCCAATAAAGGACACCAACGTTGGGGGAAAGCCATACCCTAAATTTACACAAGCAGAAACCCACCACCATCAACAGAAAGAGTTTCCAAACCAAACATCTCCCGCTCGTCCCACAGGCTCAGAAGCTGCCTGCAAAACTGAGTGGGCTTACAGCGCAGCTGCAAGGCCAAGGTGTCCGAGGGCTGCCGGCGCAGAGGCAGGGGCGGGGGGACGCCCGGGCTGCAGGCCGAGGACGCCAGTCCTCCCAGCGCAGACCTGCCCATCTCAACTGCCAGGACAAAACTGTCTCCACGCTACCCGAGGTGTAAACTGCAAAGGACTTTTCCAGATGAAACCCGACCCCGCGGACCACACCTGGAAAGGAATGTGCAGCTCGTGGGGCTGCTGGAGCCCAAGCATGAGGAGCCACCACCACGCCCCACAGCCGGTGGGGGCTTCTGAGCTCCACCCCCCTGCCAGCGCTTCCCCAGGCCAGCGTGTCCAGCAGGGGCCAACCCGGACCAACACCGGCGTTCGATTCGAGACGAAATGTATCCAATTCCTGGCAGGTGGAATTTGAAAAGGTAAAAGAAGGAACCGTTGCTCCTTGCTGCTGCCAACTGTAGCACTGCCACCTCAGAGAAGTCCCAGGCCTCCTCTGGCTTCTGCTGATCCCCACCCCACGTGCCGGAGGCGCCAGCGCTGCTGGGGAAGCGACCGTGCCGCCCGATTCGAAGGAAGCTGCGATGGCAGAGCCAGGCGGTCTCCGCGGGCTCCTGGCTGGGGCCCGCTCTCTGGCGATGGCTTCGGCTAGAGTCTGAACGGAGGGATGTTGGGATGGCGGAACACACGCGCCTGCGACGTGCCGCGTGAGAAAGTCCTCGAGGGAGTAGTCGCGCTGTTCTTCTCGCATCAGCGTAATGGCTGGTTCCGTGAAACACAGAAGTATCGTTCTGGAGTTTTCAGAATCTTAGTCTCTAAAATGTTTGAATTTCTGTGGGTGGCTTTCAGGCTCACTTTTTTTCATTCCATGTGAAGGTATGAAAATGGAGCCCTTCTTGCCAAACTCTAGAGAAATAATTGCCAGATGTCACATGGAAAAATGTGCTCGTGGCTAGAACACGAGCATTTTAGGCAAGGGCAGGGAATGCCATATTTGATAGAAGGTCTCTTCCTTTATAATCTTACAGAAAAAGTCATTTATACAATTGGAGAAACACGTTAATTAGTCTCCTAACATTTTGGGATTACTTTTTTGCAGGGTAAGGGACATTATAAACTCAATGAAACAAAGTTCTTCTGGCTTTGTTTGTTTTAGTGCAAAATGAAGGTACATCAACCCTAGATTCCATCACAACGAAATAAATTTTCTTTCCTAGTCTCAGCTGTAACTCTGTATAAGCCTACAGTACATGTAGCATTACCATAAATGAGAGTAAAATAAGGAGTATTGAAACATAGCTAAAAAAGAAATCAACTGCCACTGAATAGAGTGTAAAACTACAATTTTGCTATTCTGCTGCCCAATTTGTCATAAAACGTCAATCTTATCTTTGTATTTAAAAGGGGACTTTGTTGGCTCATTTTTTGAATAATTTAAAAGCAAGAACAGAACAAAAAAGTTCTGGTATATATTTTTTAGACAAATAAGCATTTTAACACAAAAACAATTCCCCCCCAAAGGATTATGCAACATTCACATTTTAGCAGATGTCCAAATATAATATATGCAGAAAATCTGAAAAGTTGTATCAAACTAAATGCATAGTTTTCTATTGCTATTACCTTTGAAAGTTATAAGGCTTGCTGTAGTTCAAATAGTCTATTTAAAAATTAAAAACCCATGCTCATTCAGCATTAGAAAATCCCTTTTCACTTCCACCATTTTTGAGAAATACACATCTCATTTGAATACATATCACGTCTTGAATTTTTTGCTTTGCCAGAAATCAGGATATTCTTTGCAATACCCTTTGCCAGGATCAAATATATCTTACAAATTTACCTTCGAATAAATTAAACCAATTTCTCCTGGACCATAGAGTTGGAGCTGGGAAAGCTAAGCTCCCATTCTTGTTTATTTACTCATCTCTTGGTTTTTTAGCCCCTTTCCCCAGTCTCCCGATATTTAAAATGAGTATAATGATACCTCCTCTGTAAACTGCTCTGATGAAAGTGCTAAGTAATCCTATCCGTTTTTTTTGGTTTTGTGTTGTGGGTTTTGGTTTTTTTTTTTTTTTTAATTATGTACTGTTTGTCCATTAGGCTGTCATGCAATTTAATCTTCTTTATCTGCTATCTCTGTTGCTTATCCTCCACTGGAAAATCTGAACCTCTAACATTATTGGCTGGTATTACTGGGCTCCTACCCTTCAAAATTAGTACTGTCAGGACTGAACATGTAAGACAAACTTCCTAAATGAAAAATCACTATAGGTATGCCTAGGAAAAAGGTTTGCCCAAATCTATTTGATACAGGCTTATAAAGAGAAATCTACATGTGCATGCATCACTAGCTATTGGTAATATATTTAGTGATTATTTTCCAAAGATAAATACAAGTTTTATATATTTTTGTCATGGTGTTCCTTTAAGGGCACGCTCATCATGAAGCCAAATAAGCTGCCTGAATTTGGGTAGCAAGAAAGCATTAGTATTAGAAATTGTAGGAGTTTGTTATTGCAGGTCAAAATCCTAGGCAGTCTAGGTCAGAGAACCACTCTTGGGGTTTGAAATTAGTGAGTCAGCAGTAACTGAAGGTTTTATCTGCTCTAGATGGAGCTGTGATTCCTACAGTATCTGGCCGTACAGTGTAATTCATCTAAAGTCAATGAAGTCCTCTATTTATTTCTAGTGCATCTGGCACTTCGGCACAAGGCAGCTGTTTCCAGGCCTTCATGACCCATTCCAGTATTCTGATTTATAATCTGTTACAGGGTGACTGCCACAGGCACCTAAGCCACAGGCCTGGGGAGAGGAGAATCAAGAAAAATGGATTCTAAGAGAATTATTAAAAGAACTTTGCAAGAAAACCTGAAAGTAAAAGCCTGACATTAATTCATTACATGAAGACTTAGGCTAGTTCAGGAGATATCTTACTGATACAGAGCAAGATGGTTTCATGTGAGTGAGATGGGCCTGACTTACCCTCTTAAGCACTTGAAAATTACCTGATGCTACTTGTTCATCCCTTACTAATGAATATTTTATCTTGACATTATCTCCTTCTCGAGTGGTAAATGATAACAGTGCGCTGCTTCTCTCCTTCATGCTTACCAGGCAAGAGAATTTGTGGGGTTTTTTTCTTTTTTTAACCACACCCTTCAACATATTCAGACTGTATTACCATGTTTTTGTATATACAGGGAATGAACAAACCATGACAAAATTCTGCCAAGTGCCAGTTGCAATAACGTGTGCATAACAGAAAGGACCTGTGTGCACTTCCTGTGCCCTCCTTCCTCTGGCACCATTACCTGCTGGCACAGGCTACCAGAATACTTGCCATGAAAGCACAGTATTTTTTGAAGTGATGTAGATTTAATGAGAAGTTATCCATGCAAATATAATAACTGGACAGTGTTTTACATTGAAATGCCATGAACACCAGTGATGTATCTAACTATGCATTTAAATAGTCAAAGTTCGTCTACTGATTACCCAAATATTATGCCTTTGAAAGACATAATTACAGTCCCTCTACATGTGTGATGGTTTAAATTTACTTCCACTTCATACTGTGTCATTAGGCCACCTACTTGTCATACAGACATCTAAAAATAATAAGAATTAAAAGGATCAATCTGACAATGACAATTTTAATACAATCTTGGCCTTTCAATTAAAAGTGAATAGGTACGGAGAATGTAGATAATTACGGTACATTCCCTCCGGCACAAAGGCTCGGTAGAAAAAAAAAAACAAAAAAACCCAACCACTCAGTCAGCCTAATTCACATGCTGGCTTCTGCTTCTGTAAGCAGGCAGACCACAGGCTGCCAAAGGCCTTTTGTGGTATCAAGTCAGTGACAATAAATCAGGAGGTAAAAAATGACCCTGTCAGGTAGCAAAGTTTTCTTACAACTCTTGATTCCCTGTATTTCACATTTGCACCTGTGATCTTTGCATTGTCCTTCAGAGGTCTTGTACAATAGCATGAATATCACTGATTATGTATTGATACATAAAGGGATACATACATTATTGATATATAAAAGGATACATGTTCGTATCCTTTATGCAAAGCTTCAGACACAGCTTCTGAGAACAGAACAACATAAAATTTCACCCAGTCAGTGGTGTGTATTGAAAGCCTGAAGGGCTGACTGGGCTTCCTGGGGGGTAGACCAATCCCGAATTGCAATTATGAATTAAAGCAATGGAATTGTTCTCAGGCTTTGACATTTACAGGTGGAAAATAGGGGCAGAGGAGGAACCTAAATAGATAAAACATCTGTCTTTGCAGCTAGTTCTATAAACTTCCAATTCCAAGTACCACCAATACTAAATGGAGAACTGGGAGTGGGAAGAGGTGAAGGGGAGGCAAAAATCTCTACCCACTAATATCTTTATTGTTTGAATGTTTGGATTTTTTTTTTTTTGTCTTTTCAAAGATACTACTGAGTCGTTGTCATTCTTTAGTTGTACAGTCATGAAATTGTTTGGGATGATGCCATTATTTTAAAAACTGGCGCTATCTTCGTCTCGGTTTTGCCATATAACTAGTTCCTGTGAAACGTGCTAGGAGCAGCCTAGGAAGTAGTCCCGTATTTTGTGATATGACTAAGCAGCAGGAACATGAACTTCCCGGCTTTCTGCCAGTGGACTGGAGCTCTGTTTCACACTTGTAGTCCCCAGTTGTTGAAGCCGGGGATCGAACATACTCCTGGGACACACCACCTGGACGTGCATACAAGATTCACTTCAAAGGAAACTTGAGCAAAAAGATAAATAGCAGATAGCCTTGTCCTTCTCTCAGAGTCAAGATGTGGCAGAGGTATATTCAACAACTACCTTTGAAGAAAATTAGATTTGTCCTAGCTTGAAGTTTTTAATTAGCTGAGCATCTTCCTGCAGCAGTTTGCATATACACTGTAAGTGCCAGATGGAGTTTACTGAACACAGATGATTACACTTTACAAAATAGTTTCTTTCCATCTGATTTCACTATCTAAATGTAAATAGGCAGTTAGGTTTAGACAATAGATGGCAGAAGAAGAGGAAGAAGGAAAAAAATTCAATACTGCACTTGGCCATAGGATATTCACATGTAACACTGGCCAGAAGCACTGACACCCTGTGCCTCCTGGTTTGTCCCAGCTCACCCATGGATATAAGTCACTGATGTTTCCTTCATTTTCAGGGAGTGGTGCTGCCCTTATAAAGCTGTATGCTATGCAGTTTGATGGGGAGCTACCTTTTCCTTCCTATACAATTTTTTCATCTAAGTTAACTAGGACTCAAAAGTTTCTTCATCTCTTTATGTGACTACACAAAATGCCATTACTAAATTATAGATTAGTTTGCATGTCCAGGTGAATTTTGGAATAAGAGAATTGAACTTCGAAGCTTGGCAGAGGTATGTGTTCAAGCAGAAGACAACCATGTGGCAAAGCTGCGTTGGCAGTGGAAGAAGACACAGAGACTCCTCAGCCATGGAGATACTAACAGAAAGGGCATGTATGAGAAATATCAGATAAATACGCTATGCTTGGTGCTGAGGATTAGTATCCCATTTTGGGCATCACACTTAAGGAAAATGCAGTTACAATGCAGCAAATTGCAAAGATTCTGAAGGAGATCAGCAAGAAGAGTAAGTTTAGAAAAACTGCTTAGGAAAAAAAAGAACGGAGGGATGCGTGTGAAGAGCACAGCAATCTCCATGCATGTAAATAGCTGCTTTAAAGGGTAGATCGATCACCTGCCTATGGACAGTAGTGGTAGGACACAGAGTAACTGCCTTAGCTTGCAAGCGTACATCCTGGGAGAGGAAGGTTAAGTATGAGACTAGATAAATACTATATCTAAAACTGTTTACCTCAGAGACACTAACACCCATTACTTTCACAGGAATGTTTAAGAAGAGGGCAGGCAAACATATCTGACAAGGCAATAAACCTCTCTCTGAACTACAGACAATCTTCTCTTGAGGAATGCTTGCATTATATTAATATTTACTTATGAATGCTGCACCTATACCAAGCATGAAAACTGCTTTCTGCTACTAATGTCTCTTTATATTAACCATGAGAGAACTCTGCAGACAGTTTTCTAAAGTGGTATATATTGCATATTTCTAACAACATGCCAAAGCTTATCAGAGGTCAAAGCAAGCACTAAAAGGTCAAGTAAAGAATAGAGTCTTTATGCCTGGTAAATTATGAAGGTATGATTGATAATTACGTATCTATAAATGTATGTGTATATAATGTATATATAATGTATAAGAAAAGAGCTAGGATTTCTTTACTCATTTGTCACATATTATTTCAATCATGAGGAAGGTAGCATGCAAACTACCACAATAATTGATTGCTCCTGTCAGTGATCAGGAATGAAGGAAGCCCTAGAAAACCCACATTAAGATTTTGCTGATACGTTCTACTCTAATCTGGTTTGTACAGTGAAGAGGAAGTGACAACTAGGCATCACTGCAAATTACACTTAATGAAGATACTGGAGATTAATGCCACTTTTTCTGAAGTTAATAAAAACCACTTGCAATAGGATTTAAGTGAACAACCAGATATACCAGTGTAATATCTACATACACAAAGCTAAATGTATGCCTTCAAGGTTTCCACAATAAAACAGAAGCATTATTCAAGTGAGAAGAAGAGGTGCAGCACAGCTGTACTTAGAAGACACTGTGGCTTTTCTAAGGCTCTAAGCCAACAGCATAGCTTCCAGGTAGCTTTTCAGGCAGGATGAAATCCAGAAAAGACACAAGCAGGGGCCTTCACTGTGGGCAGACCCCTATCTGATAAAAGCTTCTCTATCTCAGGATCAAACAGTCAGAGGTAAGTCTCCTCCTTGATATCATGGCATCTCCGAAAGACAGGCACCATTTTGCATATATGACATACGGAGAAAGCACAGGAGGTTTACTACATTGTTAAGCAAGATTTCTTTTTTTTGTTTGTTTTACTCAAGGTTTTAATTAGTTAGGGGTACAATAGCAGGTATAACTGATACACTCTTGCAGAACAGTGATATCAGTATGCTCCAATCAAACATATTTCCCATCATAGTAGAAGACACAAAAAGGTTAAAAAAAAAAAAAAGTAATTTATTGCTGAGTAGAATATTTTTTACTGGGTGGGAGCTAAATCAGTAGTGTAACAAAACCTGCTCAAAGCATACATGAAGTCTTACATTATTGTGTGCCAAACCAGCCCAGGCCTTAACTGTGGTATTCGCACCCAGCAGAAAGAAACTGAGCCACAAATTTTGCATACTTTAAGAAAAATAATCTACCAACAGAAACCATGTTTTTTGCCTTCTGTCTTCTCTGAGACATGAATTAAAAAATAGCTGTGATGAGTTTATGGTTTACTGAACATCTCTGGGCATGCAAGACTGGATAGCCTCTGCAACAGAGAGCATGAGCCTCAGGGACTCCCTCAGATTTCAGTCTAACTTTGTCATAACCAACAAGAATTTTAAAAGGATAAACAAACACAGAAACTCACCCTTGTGGTGTAAGCAGCTTCTGGGTCATCTTCCAGTACACGGGAGAGACCAAAATCTGAGACTTTGCATACCAAGTTACTATTGATGAGGATATTACGAGCAGCCAGATCTCGATGGACATAACCCATATCTGACAAATATTTCATGCCAGATGCGATCCCTCGAAGCATGCCTACTAGCTGGATGACTGTGAACTGGGCATCATGTTTCTGGAAAACATTTGAAATATCATTTCAGAGATTGTTCATGTTCCTCCTTGCACAGAATTAAGACCCTGGAAGCTCCTGAAGTGTAGAGCTCATGCGTCAGGGGTCGTGATTTAAATGCCACACATGGAACTACTTTGATCTGCAGAGGATAACCTCCCAGTCAGCAGAGGGAAGGGGACAGATTTTCAATTCAGAGAGAAATTAATTTTTCCCATTCTTGCTGTCATCAGAATTTTAATTTCCTAGATGGGACCTGTGTGAAAGCAGGACATATATCTAAGTTGTGTGTGGTCATGAGACTGAAGTGTCAGAACATTAGGGAAACAGATGTCCAACTTCCCTGAAAAGCCATAGGAATTGTTAGTGACAATCTCAGACTTACCCAATGGACTAATGAAAGTTTTCTATTACACAAGCATCTTTTCTAACAAAAGCAAATGCTGATCTGATTCAGTGGCTTTCAAATTCCAAAATTTAAACACATTCCTCAAAATTTTCCTCAACTTCAGGAACACAAAAATCACTTAAACACACCATGACTTAGCCTAGAAACCAATAGTTGCATATATTTCTAATTGTCTACTTCTGGACACATGCTTTAAATCTCCTAGCTCTTACTAATGCTGTTTGTTAACATCTAGCTTTGATACTGATGTATAGATACATAGAAAACAGGACAACAGTACGTCCTAGTGCAGCTCTCAAATGAATCCCCCAGTGCTGTAAATGTATCATCATAGGCAGCTCTCCAGCTCTTCCTGCTGCTTCTTCCAGAATTTTATTAAATATATGGGAGCTGGCTCTGCCATGTGGGGTGAGCTCACACGAAACAGCCTGCAAGACTGATTGCATTCATTACATTTTTGATTAATATACTTAGGGGTGATATTAGCACTGTAAACATTAGACAGATATATGGCACAACAGATGCTTAAATAGCTCTCAAAATTCCCTTTCATGAAAAAATTCATTATTATAAAAGACTCTTAGCAGTCTCCTGTTATGAAACCTTATTTAACTACAGCCAACACAAGAGGATCTATACAGACCCTGGAAAAGATTTAGCTAGAAATCAGAAGAAGGTTTCTAACCACGAAAGGAATGAGATGCTGAGATAGCCTTTCAATGGCAATGGGGAAAGAAAGCTAAATAGTTTTAAAAGGCATCTATAAAAGGGCTTATATGGCCCAGGCTGCCTGTGATATTAATGAGTCACAAGGTTCTTACCTATGATTCCACACAACAGTAGTTAAAAAAAAAATAATCCAACCCCTCCAAAAAACCCACCACATTCAAGTGAACGACCAAGCTGAACAACTGTTTTGTACAGTCAGAAATTATTCTCCTTTCCTTAGAGCTTTCTTCAAGGATTTTTAGCCTAAACAAAATATATGCAGTTCAGTACAGATATATTTTATTCAGATCTACTGACACATTATTTATATGTATTTTACATGGTCCAGTGGACATCATAACATATATAGTACATACTGAAACTAAGGTTGACAATATATCCCCTTTTGGGGTTAAACGTCTATTTCAGTGTTATGAATTTGGGGGATAATGTCATTCAACCATGGCAGAACCAAAGCAGTCTCCCAGCCACAGCTGAGTTTGTCCTAACAAATTAAAATTAAACTAGTGGTTCCCCTCAGATGGGATTTCATTTCTGTTACACTTCTTGTTTTGCCACAAGTAAATCTTGGTGACACGGGGAGCGTTCAAATTTTTTTAGGCTCGGTACCAACTTTGACAGAAAACAAAGATAAATCAACAACAGTATTAGTATGTCTAAAGTTGGGGAAAGAAAACAGGCCAATAAAGTTTGCTAGCAAAACATTTCAAATACCCTCAGGTATGGAGTTATTCCCTAAACTTTTCATTTAGAGAAACAGCTCTTGGCTCAATACTACTGGTTTACTGATAAAATTTCCACAAATCCATTCACTTTGGAAATCGCTTGGTAAGATACACAGGTTACCAACTGATAAGCATGACTACATTACAGTAGTAATTCAGCCCACAGAAAAACAATTTCCATCTCTGTGTGCCAGGGTGTTGTTTTGGTTTGGTTTGTTTTTTTATCGACGTGACATACGAATAAAACAAAAATGTTCTTCATTTTGGAAGAACATTTTCACTTTATTGCAAGCAGTCAGAATGGACTAGCAGTTCCCTACCTGGCTTTCTGAGCACATCACAGTGCACACAAACCAAAATGGAAATAATGAAATATCAAACAAAAAGGGATGATGATGAATCAGAGTACAGCAGCAGCAAATCCATAACAAATTCAGAACAAGGGTCAGTCCTGCACCACGTAGTTCTCTATTGCACTTACCCGCAGGAAGCTGTCCAAGGAACCATTTTCCATATATTCAGTAACAATCATAACTGGTTTACCTGCAAATATATTACAAGTGTCAGGCATTTAAAATGAATACATAATGATCCGTAAAAACAGGCATTTCAGAAATGTGCCCAAATCTTCCAAATCCCAAGGATAATTTTACATTTAGAAAGCAAGCAAAACCAGCTCTGTCTACAACATAACTGTGATTTCACTGATGACAACAGAAATACAGTCATTTCAGCATAAACGGACATAATTTTTAGCAGCTCAAAGTCCCAAGACACAAAGCAAAGCATCCTGCGTTTTCAGTATACGGTGTCTGATCCATCACCGTTGAATATAATCCTTCATACAACTGTTGAACTTGTGCAATGAAGTAGGTGTATCCTGCCACGCGTTTGCCCCCAGATCCCCGCCGGAAGGGAACTGGGCACTTGCTGTGGAGGGAGTCGCAGTTTCTGTCCAGAGTTGCCCTGGTCTGCACAAAGGCGGTGCAAGGACTGTGGAGCAGTGCTCTACCGTATGGGCATGGTCAGCATGTTCCTCAGATACTACGGTATAAGGGAGAGACGGAATAGCGCACATAGAGGCAACAGCAAAAAAACTCTCCCTCAGGAGGGTATTTACAATGCATTTAATCTGTAGAGCTTCAGTATTTTCCTGGCATAAGCCAAGGAAAATGTTGGGGTGGGAATAGGTCGGACAGGGCTCTGAGCGACCTGATCTAGTTGAAGATGTCCCTGCTCATTGCAGGGGGTTTGGACTAGATGGCCTTGAAAAGTCCCTTCCAACCCAAACTCTTCTATGAAGTCTACAGAGATGGAAGGGAAAGTGCAGAATAAAAGTAAGACGGGGCAACGGAAAGAAAGGCAGAGCTGTAACGCAGCCACCATCCACTGCTGGGGGTTAGCCCTCTTTCCAGGCGGTCCTGCCTCCCTCTGTGGTGGGATCACTGACAACATGAACCTCCCTCTCCTCTCGCCAAGCACAACTTAGCCGGGGGCCGAACACGTTGCATCCACGGGGCAGCTGCACACTCTAAAGAAACAGCCCCGCATCCCTGAAAAGCCTTTAATATCTTCCAAAACTCATCCATGCAGATTCAGGTCAGTTTTTGAAACCGTTTTTTCTACCCTAGAGTATTCTGTAGCATAACCAAGATTTTATATGCAACTCTGACACGCTGGAGAGAAATGAAGGCAAAAATTAATGTGGTCACGGTGAAGCTTCCAGACAAAGGTCATTGGCCTGATAATATTTTACCATCATGTGGATTTTATTATTTAATAATATTTTCTAAAGCTTTGTTTATTTTCTCTTTCTAGTAGACAGAAAGGTGGGTAAGAGCATGAAGTTATTTAAGGAGATGAGTTATTATTTCACATATAATACAGGAGGACATCTGACCATAAAAGCATAACGAAGGCCTGCATATTGTATAGCAGGCATGGTAGTATTTTAGCTTTTAAAATTGAACACTATGAGGCTTTAAAGAGGTCCCCAGTATAATTAAACGCAAAAAAGCCATTAAAAAAAGCAAAGTAAATGGTAACAATTCCTTCTCTATTCGTCTTTCAGAAAATACACTTCTACCAAATAGAAATTCTTAGGAGAGGAATATTAACTTCAAATAATGATCTTAATATAATGAGAGGAAAATCCTTAGTCCTCTTAGCATGGATTAATGGGTTAAAATATCTTCTTTCTGCTGTGCAAATGATGTGTTATACTGTGGGAGTCACACTAATGGGAAATCGACTCTGTCAGCCATTAACTGGCAGGAACAAACTCTTTATTCAAAACATTTATCTTGAACTATATAGGATATGGTACAGACAAAAGACCTAACAATGTCAAATCTCAAAAAAAAAAAAAAATCTGTTGCTTGCTTACTCTTGCTAGCAAGAAATATGCAGTGCAAGGAAAAGTACCTAACATGCTGTGTAAGTGTAACCCAAAGGCATGTCTTTTAATGCACAGAAAATGCAAGTAACGGGCAGCACACCGATGGGGCTATCCAAAACTTTCTCTGATAATTCCATGTACTTTGAAACCAGGAGACAGTTGCCTGGTTTCTGTATACACTCAGTCAATCTGGTGACACATCAGAAGACTGAAATTACAGTAAGAAGTTACATACTTCAAATTATTAAGAGACCATCTTCCTGCCTTGCTCCCTCACAGTTAGAAAGCCCCAAGTGCAGGGTTTCACCCTCGTTCAGTTGGAAACGTGTCCATAATAAGAAGCATATGCTCTGAAGCAACACGGTGCACTTCTGAAAGAACATTCTGCATTCATTTATCAAAACACAGCCGTTTATACATGATAACAACTTGTGTCAACAGTGTTGCCGAAATTTATTAGACTAACAGCCTACAAATTGCTGTAAATTATTAGTAAACTAAGCAGAACATGTGTGCTGGTTATTAAGACTACTGCCTACAGCACGCCCAGGAGACCAGCGTAGCAGGAAAAGGCAGAACAGAAATCAGCATGAAGCAGGGCAAAAACTCTGCACTGAAGCGAAGGACTGAGGTCTTGTCTGGTGGGTGCACCTCCTTCACGCTGCTGGTGGGTTGTCCCACTGGCAAACTGCGGCCACCCCAGCTTGAGAACTTCTCATACCAAACAGTCCTATTACAGGGATCACGACAACTGTGGCTATTGGGAACTGCTTCAGAAGATCTGCTTAGTATGAAAAGCAAGATCATTGCTAAGGGCCACCTGTCAAAAAGAATTTGGTTAACAAAGAAAAGGTTGTATCGCCTGTTTATCATGCATTACCTGCAGTGAGAGTGGTCCAGCAAATGCTCCATGGGCTCTCTACTTAGACTGTACATACAGTAATGCTTTTGAGTGTGATTTAACAGCTATCATAAAAAAATATGAACACTTGCTAATTTGTTATTACAGTATATTGGTTTGTTTTAAAAAAAAAAACCAAACTCCACAACCTTCTTGTCCATCTATCACCCTAGAGAATGCTGAAGAAAATAAATTATTACCTTTACTTGCATTTATGCCATATAATTTTACCCTATAAAATGGCTACAAATAATTCCAGAGCAGTTTTCTCAACTCCTGTATTCAAGCTATCTGGAGAGGGTGTTTTAATCCCTGAGGCTTTTATTGACTTCAGCTGGGAATACTCAGAGCTTGCTCCCTCATACTTAAATGTGATTGATAGGCACTCCCAAACCCCCCGAAACAGACAGCAGTCTGCTGTGAATACAGCTGAGTAGCAAGCTTACTAATAGTCACTTACACACAATAAAGACAGAATTAGTAATGCACATTCAAAAGCAATGCACAAATTCCTGCATGCACAGCAATCAAATTATTTTCTCAAGTGCCACAGAAATACAAACTGTAAAAAAATAGATTTTAGCTCAGCTGTGTACAGACTGATGCTGGCATTTCAAGTAATTTTGGGACAGCAAGTATTATTCTGACTGTACAAAGTGTGTGTCATTAAAAAGCAGGATTTACACAGACAGATCTGGCAGTCCTCTATGAATGGGACTGTGAGACCTAAACTGAAAAATAACTTCTTTGTCATTGAAATCAGCAAAGTAGGCTTTCATGAATCACACTTAGAGAAAGCATTATTATTGTAATTAAGTCTCTTCGTTACATATAGGGCTTACATACCTTTCACTAGTTATTTTTAGACGCAATCTTGTGGGTTTTTTATTTCATGTAATTTGTTGCAGTAAGCTATGAAATTCTTTCGTGCCTGTCTATGTTTGTGACACCTTGAATCATGCAATTTTAAAAGCAAGATTCCTTAAAACAAATAAAACCATCTACTTAACAACAAAGTATTTGATATACTTCCACCCAGTTAAACTGCAAACGTCCTCGGCACATTACAAGCAGTTCACTGAAACGACAAGGAGCTGCTTTGCTGGCAGAGTCCTCTGAACTAGGAAACATCCTACTGATTTTTTCCACTCCCCTGAGAAATCTCAGAGCATTCCTGAATATATATTTTTTTAAGAGTACCTCATATAAAGTCTTATTGATCTCTCACCTAATAACTGCCGCAGGACTTTGATGATTAAATTTATCACCTTATGCTTCAGTGGAAATTTAGAAAGTCTCTAAATTTATGTCTCGCAGAGCAAGCCAGTTTGGGTACTTCATGCAACCTCTCTTTTCTGTTTCTTTCCACCTCAGGGTCGAAGACAATCAGCAGCACAAGCAATAAGAGCCAGAACTTGCCGCAGTGGGGCAGCACCACCAGCACCAAGTCCCACCAGCTGCTCATAAGGAGAAGAGCATGCAGGATCTGAGTGGCTTCAAGGCGGCTACCGTGGCTGCCATGGGAAAGCTGGTTGGGAGCTCTAAGGTCAACACTACTGTTCAGGAATGTCTGTTACAACTTGCTGTTACCTTAACAAAAGTGGAGCTGGAGAGGGTTCTTCAAATATGTTACTTTTCCAGGAAGGTACCAAGTGTAGATGGAGTTTCCAGTTACATTTTTGTCTCAAAATGAGAAGGTGATTTGTTATCATTGACAGAAACGTGCTTTAGAAAAAAAGTACAAACCCACAGCAAAACCATCCAAAGACAGATTTATAAAATATCCATTAGTAAAAATATAAATGTTCTCAAAGAAATAAAATAAATTTTACTACTGACAGCATAAAGCCCCAAGATTTTTTTTGAGATTTTCACTAACAGGCAAATTCTAGAGGATCGGGATCTTTAAAATGCCTGATGCTGGTACATATTGAATACCACACGGAATATTTTCCTGGCATGAAAATCATGGAGGAAAAGGTTTGGACTTATTTATTAATATACTAGTATCAGCTGCTGTAGCCAAGTAGGCTCTTCATTAATTTGTGCTAATGACAAAATCCAATGATTTAGTTGAAAGCAGAATACCCTGCTTCAGTACAATTAGGAAACGTCAGGACATCAGACTCCACGACTCCTAACAGAGTAACAGGAAATACCTCTTGGACACTTTGTAAGCTGTTGTGGCTCTGGAGTTTATTACACCTGCCAATTTATTACTGAGCTGCACTGTTCTTTAGAAATGCTCCTTTTCCTCCATGTTTTCTATATTTCTTTCAAGCAGTTCACTTTTATTTCCCGTTTTTTCCCATCTCATTAACCTGGGGTACTGTTTTTAGGTTGTTGGCAGCCTGAGAGCAGAAAGACAGTGAAGGTCCTGCAGCTGCACTGCAGGCAATTGCTCCCCATGCCATTCTTCACTGGATCCATCAGCATGGGTTTAGCTGGTGCTTGCACATGGGAAATTTTTTGTTTGCTTTTGAGGAAATACAATATACATTGCAAAAGCCAGGCTATGCGTTTCCATTGTTATGTCTATTGAAGAATATTTAGTACATATTAACAGGGTTATAACATAAACATTTCTGGAAGGGTTTGCAGAGCATAGACATGGATGATTCAGTTTTTTTATTTGCTTTTGCTCTTCCTTGAATAGAAGGAATCACAGAATAATATAGGGTGGAAGTGACCTCCAGTGACACTTCCCATGCAAAACAGATGCCCCGTCATATCTTACTTTTAGTGACGACTCCCTCTAACCGAATGATATTAGGGTGGTCAAACTGTCCCATGATGCTTGCTTCTCCCAGGAAGTCTCTTCTCTGTTTTTCTGTGTAGCCAACTTTCAGGGTTTTGATAGCCACTGAAATTTCCTTTTTGGAAGGCAGCTTTAGGCGCCCACTGCACACTTCTCCAAACTCCCCTAAAATAGTGGAAAAATGACAAAAGATGAAATGTCATTATTTCATGGGGATTTAAGAAAGAAGACTTAGTGTTCAGCAAAAGTCCCTGAAGTGTGATGTTTACTGGTGGGCATTCAGACAACTACTTAACATTTCCATGCTTGGGTTCTCCAGCTGTCAAACTGGACAATGTCACTTATTTACAATGCATACCCAGAAGACTGCAGAGCAGAGGAATGCATAAATGTCACCAGAAAATTCCCTTTTTGTTTCAGTTGATGCAGTTTGAGACAACAGTAGAAGGGCTGATTAATGCAGAACTATCAGAATAGTTATGCATCCTTGTGAACATTGTACTCTTCATTTCTACCAAACAGAGATAGTACAGATCCCAATTATTTTACTCATTTCAATTAAAGTAGCAATATAATTCATAACAAAAGAGTTTATCTACACAGCTGCAAAGAACAAAGAAATCCATACAGATTATCTTTGTTCTATCATTATTCAGACGGATCTAATAATGCAAATATATACTGTCACTATGTGACTACAGGAACTGATAGTCCACTATGAATATTGTACCCACGGTATATTGTGTGAGAGCCCTAAATAGAAAATGGCAGATATCACTGGATGTTTACTTTAATACAACGTGGTTTATCCTTTGCTATGTAACATCCAAAAAGAGCGCACAGGGAAAATTATCTAAGCATTCAAATGAGCAAGTATTAAATCTGTTCACAAATTGCTGGTAGAATACATCTCACTTGAAAATTTCTGCATTTAACTAATGATTACATAAAAAACATATAAGGAGGTTCCAGTATCTTAAATCACATTTGAGCAGCAATTGACTTTTGATTCCCAATTATCCAACCCCCCATCTTAGATTTCAGATGATATAATAAACTGCACATACAACATCCCAGTTAAAATTACAGTAGCAACTTTTTGTCTCCTTGTTTTAATAACAAAATAATTGAAATAAAGAAAAATATAATAAAACCAAAGAGTGGATAAAATATACAAGACATATGATGGCAAGAATTGCTCTACGTGATTATTTATATTTAAAGACAAAGAAAACACTTCACTGAATAGAGAAGAAAAGAAAGGCGGTTTCTTTTGTGGGTTTTGTTTTGTGTTTTTGTTTTTGTTTGGGTTTTTTTTTTTTTTCAATAAACTAGAGGACACTGCTGAAGGGCTTTAACACTCATTTTCCAACAGTACATGCCTATTCAGGTTCTTTTGTCAAAATACAAGAGATCTAAATATAGATAGCCCCTCATATGCCATATTTTGTCAAGTGGCCTCATACAGAAGGTTTGACTCGGAAACAAACCAACCCTATAAATCTAAATCTAGGTGGCATCATTTTTATGCAAATGAAATTTTGTTTTTATTTGTGATTGAAACATCATGGAAAGAATTATTGTACTGCTTACATATGAGCTTTTCCCACCTTAATGTGTAATAATCCTAAATGCAATAGTATTACTATGCCTGTAAAGAGCAAAGGCTCTTGGAGCTCATTTGCCCACAATGATTCTTTCTTCATCTCTACACCTTTTTGTTTACATTAAAAAAAAAAACCTGTGAAAACTAAAAATGACAGAAACCCACATAAATAAGATATTTTTAATGGGCAAATTTAAATCATGGTGCTCTTCATAGGTTTAATGCTCAGAAATGTGTGACGGATGGACAGCCCTTCACCATTGTCTTCAGATGTGATACCACATGGGATACATTTTAGATGTCACATTCAGCCCATTTATCTGCAAATTGAAATTACTTGCTCATCAGCTTACCACCAATATGGCTGGCATTTACAGTCCATGTCCCATTTGTGGCACTGCAATTCAGGAATGATTACGGGAGTAGTAACAATGACCAGAATCTTAAAAGTCAGGGCTGTGTGTTCATGTCCAAAGCTCAAGGAACTGGTGTTATTTATACACAACAAGGCATGAGAAGAGAGAGACGACAATAGTTTTGCCTTATCAAAATTATGGTTATAAATAAGATGGACACCAACTCCTTTTTCTAAACACAAGAGGCAAACCACAGAATAGTTGCAAATTACAATATAGGTCAGTTATATCAGGAAAAAAATTCTAACAGTAAAGACACTTGGACAGTACAAAAGATTTTTTAGGGAGGCTATAAGCTCTTTTATCTTGGAGATTGTGAAGAATAAGCATCTATTAAGAATGGTACCTAACAAGTTCTGTTTTGGGCAAGGGTGCGGACTTAATGACCTCTTGAGGTCACTCTTCAGCTTTATTTTCTAAGGTTTCCCTGTTAGCCAATTTAACAAAAAAAAACCCCAAACCTGAACAAATGTGTCGCAGGACAATGACCTTTCTCTGTTGCTAACCCAAGCTAGATTTGAATCAAAGACAAAGAAGTGAGTGTCACCACATCTTATCACCAGCTGCTGAGCTGCTTCATCCTCTAGGCATGGTACTGTGCTATTAATGTAATAACAAAAAAACCTTAAAAACAGGGTTTATCTTCATGTATTTATATACTACTAAAATAGCATTTACATTACATCCATTGTTTCTAGCAATTGTACTTTAGGCTGCCAAGACAGGCAGCAGCTCAGAAAATTAATTGTAAAACCTATTACTAATAACCAAGAGGTGTTAAGTTCTGTTCAGACTTCTTAATTAAAAATATTTAACCTCTGCAAGCCAAAATGACTAGTATTCTTTACCAAGAGCAAATGCTGCTTCAGTTCAAATACTAACCCCAGCTCAATACTGTCAGAGCACCACAAAGAGGAAGACCAAAGCACATCTTGAAAATGGAAGGAAGGGAAAAAAGTGCTTGAAACAAAACTTGTAATGTCCAGCTTCATATTCACTTTTCTTTATATTTTAATGGTCCAAAAAGCTATAACAAGCTACCTTCTTAAAACTATTGTTCAGTTGCAGTCGGTGGAGACTATAGCTGTGATTTCAGCAAAGAGTCCAGCAATCAATCCTTCATTTCTGACCGGAATCATGTATCTGATATTTGTTTGACTTTTGGGAAGGAAAATGGCTAATGTCCATCAACACAGTCCCATTTAGCCATGGCTGCACAATTTAGAATTTGTGTGATTAATCGGATTCCACAAGTGCCTTGAGGCCAGTGTATGCTGCAAGAGACTAAAAATTGGACCCTTGGTAGCAATGGAGCTTACTGTTGTCCATGAATATAAAATGGGTTTCCTTTCTTGGAAAACAATTTTGCTAGAAAAAGCTCACTGGGCAGCCCAACTACATTAACCTTTGGTTCTTTCATGTACAGGGCAGTATGGATGCTACATAAGTCAACCTGGTCAACACCTGTAGTGACATGAGTTACACTACAAGTTTTTCCTGCAAATCATTATTATATGGTCCCAGTAAGAAATGGACTGGATCTCATCAGATATTGTTTAGGAGGAATAGGGACTTGATTCAAGTTGAAAGGTGGAAAACCTGGCACTGATTTTAAGAGATGAAGTTGATGGCTTTTCACGTAATGCCTTTCTGAAGTGTTTATTTTTAATTATGCTACACACATAAACATTGTATAACCTGCCCTGCAGACTGATGTGCCTATTTACATGTGGAAAGCAAATAGATAGTATTAGGAGGGCTGTTCACGATATAAAGATTTCTCTTCAGGAAATCTTAATTTCTTTTTAAATAGGCTTAGTGCATCAGTGAATGGCATTTGCTGTGCATTTAGACCCAGGGGACAAGTAAAAGATGACTCTGTGAAATTAGCTACTCCTTTTACTTTGCTGTGCTTTAAATCATGACTGCACTGTTGTGCACAGAACTCCCTCAGAGTTGGAGAGGCTGAATGTTTCATAAACCTCATGAACCTTAGCAGCGTTCTACAAGCCCTCACTGATACACTGCAAGCCTTCACAATAAGTTCATGGACAGGTAGCCCCTAATTTTTAGAAACAGTTTGATCAGCAAGATGTTATGCTACAAGTATGTTTAAACTTTGAAAGAAAAGCAAATGCTTGCTTTCATGTTCAGCAAAGCACATACTTAAATCTATCCCAAATCAAGAAAGTACTTTCTGTAGTATTCTCTTGTGATCCAATTGGATTTAAACTTCTTAAGTGGTTTGCTGAACTGGATCCATAAAAACAAGTGAGTTGTTTTAAAAGAAAGAATTACTGTAAAGAAAAATCTGAAAAAGTGGCTCCTGACCTCAATTTTCTTATGCTTAGCCTCCCACTAAAATCCCTTGTGTTTTTCTTGAGGTTCTTTTGGACAAGAGTACTTCCTTATTGCATTTGAGTATGTTTTCAAAGCTATGTAAGCTGCCCTCTATTCTTAGGGAATTCTGGCTAAAGCTGTGAAAAACTACTTGGAAAAGTACCTCCGAATATGAAGATTACTTGCCTGACTTGAAGGTCTCATTACTTACGTCACACTTCAATGCAGTTAAATGAATCCCTTCTTCTCAATTCACTGTCTTTTTACAATTTCATTCACACTTGCATTTGTAAAGAAGGGCAGGAAAAGACCAAGCCATTCACTCAAATAAGTCATTGACTCAAGTAAGAGGCAGGAAATGCCTTTCTGCTCTTGCGGAGGAAAGAAGTCTTGCTGCAGAAGCAGCTTCGGAGGCACTCCAAATGCAAAAGCTGCCACGTGTTAAATGTGACAGCAGTGTAAAGCGATGCTACAAATGCATTTTGGAAGCTCCCATCACTCTGTAGCTTGATTTTTATCTGTTCTTCCCTGCCTGGCTCTTCCTGTTGGCATCTCTGGCAACTGTTAATAGGAAATGCTAACTGTAATGCCATATATAGTTTAGGCTCCATGAATCTGAGTCATGGTCTCCAACAAATAGCTTTATTATATCTTGAGTCCAAGCTTCACTGTAGAGGACCTGCAGGAACCTACTGTCACTCTCACTGGAGTGAAGCAAAGGGACTTCCTTTTAAACCACCTGACCGTTTTAGGACATATTCCTTTTTGGAAGCCTCTCAGAAAACTCTTCCTCCATTTTCAGAGGCCGTATTTGGCAAATCTTGGTTTACCTCTTATTGTCATCATGTGCATTCTGATTAAAACCAGGTCAGAACACTGAGCTATAAAATATGACATATAACGGATTCTTACAAATTTGTTTTCTAGATTCATATACTGCAGACAGCCCAACTTTAGAAAGTTTACATTTGTGAACGAAGGCGCCTAAAAGTCTTACAAGGAAACATACTGCTCTTGGACATAGCTTTTCAGTAATCTCCTTTTCTATCCCCTTATTAATTCTCTATTATGTTGCTTCCTTGACTGAAGATGATGGAGAACAGTGCACTCTTGTGGGGCAAAATTAAAACCAGCAAGGAACAAAAATTCTACCTTTGCAAAAATAACCTAACTTCATACAAGCAGTTGAGTAGCTGCAGTAAGACAGGATGAATACTGTTTCTTTTTACTGGGTGATTCAGGAGATGCACTGAGTACAGTAGCTTAGTTCTACATTTTTTTCCAAATGAAAATTTTTTGCTCTGCACTAGGAGTCTGTCTCTCTTACATCTCATGATTTTAATTCAAATAGTAAATTCAGCAAGAAGCAAAAAATCAATAATAAAAGAACGATTAATTTTCAATGGATTAAAAATCAATAGTACTTCTCACAAATGCTTTAATTTAGCAAGAAAGCTAACATTTCATGATCTTCTCACTTGACGAGACGATCTGCCACTTGAAGGAGCAAGCACACATCCTATCAGGAACTACATGATGCACTGCAACACTGACAACTCAGTGTGATGAGACTTTCTGTAATCTGGCTCATCTGCTACAAAATCTGCTCAACGGTTTGTTTTCTGTAAACCCAACAATCTATGGTGTCTGTATGGCTCAGACAATCGGTTATCAGACAGAGAACCCATTCCTCCTAAATCGATAATTCAAATCCAAAGCAGTGACCAAAATCAATCCAACGACCAAAGGTCATTGCAGTCTGATGGATGTGTGATGACTGGTATGAAATGAGTTTGTGGTTTCACTCAAGGCGTAATAGTCAACAGTCCTTTTAAGGGTAAAAAAGAAAACATCTTCACAGTTGATAGCATTTTTTGTGCTGGCAGACTTTAAAGAGAAACATAGAAGTGAGGCTGAACTCTCTTTTCACTCCCAATAGTGCTGCGTCCAAGTGCGGGCTGATAGTTGTCCTTTGAAAAACTGTCTTGCTATCTGCTTTCTTTGGGGAAAAAAACAGACCTGTGTGCCCTTAACTTTTCATATGCACCATAGTCAGATGTAAATATGACCTACTAATTTGAAAACTTTAGAATGTTTTCTTTACAGTCACAAGTCTAAATCCAAAGATGTAAAACAGTATACGCAGCAAAAAGCTATCTGATGGTCATTACCTGCTCCAACCACTTTATCAATGGATATATTTGAAGCATCTAGTTCCTTGGCAAATTCATGCACAGCTTGATTGGGATCCTCATACGTATGTGGATCTACGTAAGTTCTCAGACCTGGGAGTTTTACTGTGTAAAAACAAATTCAGAGAGAAAATGTTACTTAGACTTAATTAATCCTTCTAAAGAAAGCTCAGGAGACAATAGAAATCAAATCAATAGAAGAAAAAGGCATACTGCTTCTTCAAATCAAACTGCTTTTGATGGGTCTTCAGGAATATTAATATAAGGTGAAACCAGAAATACTCATGTAGTTATTGCAGAGAAGTCTGAAAACCAATTTTAAATATATCTGCACTGGCCATGTTTAATTGCTTTTCAAATATTGAAATACTACCCACCCCTCCCAGCTTGCAATGTTTAGATGCTGCCTTATATTGTCCCTTTCAAGGTAACAACAAGGAGGCAAGGAACAAAATGTGTGATGTTACAAGTCAACCTGAAAAGTTCTTAAGAACATATAAGGAGAGCACATTAACTCAAACCTTTTCTTTCCAAGCCCTCCAGCAAGATGCATAAGAAAAGAAAACTATACATGAAGAAAGGCACCTCTGCCACAATCCCTCTGCTAGTACATGCAAGGATGGCCGCCAGTCGTTCGTCTTACTAAAGTCTGGTTCTAGTGCTCAGTTACCCTAACATCCATGTTATCATTTTGGCCCTCTCTACAGTTTCCTGTCCAGAGATCATTCTGTTTGCCCCGGGCAAGTGCTAGTTCAAATGACGGAATGATTTTAAGCGCAGTTTCAAGCTCTCTACGTCTCTTCCTCCAGCAGGACTGGGGGTGGGAGGCACATGTTATCATTCCCAACCTTTCTCTCCAGCAAAGAAGCTGAAACCAAAGCATAGCCTCCCTTCCCCTCCCCAGGCCCTGCTTGTGCTTGTACCCCGTACCTTGTGTGCCTGCCTCTGTATTCATTTCAGAACAGAAAGAAGTTTTGTTAACAAAAAGTAAAATAACCGTTACATCCAGCTTGAAGTTTTCTGCTTCTGACACACAACCTGCGTTCCTAGACATGTATTCTAGCTTTTCCTAACCGTACCAGTTGGTCTTGTAAAAGATATTAACTCCTCCTACAAACGCTGCCTTAACCCACTCAGGAATATCCTTTCCAGCTTGGCATTATTATACTGCAATCAATTTGTTGACTGCTAGAATAATTAAACCTTTTTTTGCTGGGGTTACACAGATGGGAAAAAATACCTTTGGATTAGTTAGAGCACACCATTGTTTTGTCAAACAATCCCAAGTGTATGTAAAAAAAATAAAATCAATTTTATGGAGATTTATTGGCCTCAGAATTGACAAAGAAATGATAAAACTGGGTTCCCAAGCTAATTGCCTCAAAACCAATGTGAACTAAGAGCCATGCTCTTAACACAAGGGCTGCGTGTGCACAGCATTAAATGCCTACTGTGTTTCCTTCAAGAGCCTGATGATTACAGAATTACTTGCAAGTAAAACAAAAAGTAATTGGCTGTATATTGCTGTTGGTTAAAAATCTTGTAAATGCTCCTTTCCGTCCATGCTGAATGTACATTACAGGCTCCCTCATACCCCCAATAAAAAGAACAACAATTAAAAGCTTCTGCACTGTGGGGTTTTTGGCTGCAGATTTTTAATGCTGACCCCAGAGGTTCCCAAGATCAGGTGATGGTGACTGCAAGGAGAATAATCCCTTCACACCAATAATTAAGGGTAGCCTGTATAGTAACTGGGTTCTGTCATGAAAAACAGATAATAAACACGTGCACATGTGTTAAGCTGTACTACTTTACAGCTCATTCTGTGCAAACATAATAATTTGCATTTTCATTTTAACAGCATGAATTGCCCTAAAGGTAGCAAAAAAATAAAAAGGGCCTAGCCAAAGAAGGCAAAGGGAGAGGATCTGAAGAGGTGAAACATTTTTGGTCCTTTGAAGTAATATTATAGGATTTGTAATAAGGCTGCAGGGAATAGTTCATGGCTGGAGCCTTTTTTAAAGTAATTCAGAATAAACTGACTGAAATAAAGCAGCTGCTGTATTTCAGATGCTGAAAGTTTATGACAGCCATAGAAGTTACTTTATCTTTTTTTAGCTCATAGGAGCAATTTTCTTATTCTTTGAGAAAGACTGTAATTTAGTAGAATAAAGTTTCAATCGCCACACATGTATATTCATACAGATTGTAACAGATAAATATCTGCAAAATCAATAAATCATTTTCAAGAATTTCTAATAGAAATACCAGGTCTGTGATTGGCTCTGTTCTTACTACACAGTGAATCAGCATGGCACTGCTCAGAAAACAGTACATAAATATCTAAAGCCAAATTAAAAGCAATTTAATCCACTGGAATTTAACAGCACTGACATGTTTAAGAATAGTGATTGCAACTTTCCATTGTGTGGGAGTAAGGAGAGCAAATTCTGACCTGTTATTTGTCTGTGACACTTTTTTTACTGGCTGCTTTTATTTTATAACCTCATTAAATTTGGATGATGAAGCATTAATTCTATGGGCCACATGTAACCGTATAGATTTTTTTGAGACTAGTTGGTTAGCTGTTGTTGGGCTGCATGAAGCAAACCCACTGTTACAGCTTGTGTATCCCCTGACAGTGCAGGGGAAGGAGCACACATGTTGTGGATATGCATGCTCACGGCTCTCTGGAGACAAGGGGGGGCTCCAAACTTAAAATAATAATAATATGAACAGTCAGAGAACAGTTACTCCATTGTCATGGGGATTAGGAAGCAGTTCTAATTTCCAACTACTGCAGGTAAATCCCTCATTAAAATGTTAATTCAATTATATTTGGTGGGGAGGCATCTGATTATGGTACAGTGCCACTGTTGTGTGCAAAAAAAACACGTACATTAACCTTACAACATGTTTGGCAATAGAAATATATGGTTTAACATGATTTACATGGTGTAGCAGGATATTGTTCTGGAGCTGAAACAGTTTCAAAGACAAACTACTGATTCTTACTAAAAACATGCTCATAGGACACCAATAATTCTGTGGGTGAAAAAAAAGAATTTCCAGCCTTGGTATTTGTGAAGGGTGTTATCTTTGTGCTGTAAGGATGAAAAAAATCCAAAATGCAGTGACAAAAAAACAAGAAGCTGCTCCCCACTCCTGATCAGGAATGTTAAACTATCACTTTTCTCTCCCCTCAGCTTCTCCTGCTCCAAAACTACTTTATTTCTATTTTAAAGAGGGTATGGATGGAACTTTGTCATCCAGTCTTCACGATCCACAGCTCCTCTGCTCTGGAAAAGTGCTGCAGGGTTATGGACATTGCAGAGAGGATCCAGGATCAGAGAGGAGCTGATGAAAGGAAAAACTGCAGGATGACATGCCCCTCCAGCCACAGGCCATACCGAGCTACTTCTTTCTGGTAGCCAGGACATGTGCCTGGGCTCAGAAAACCAACAGTTCTTTCCCTGAGCATCTCCTGGATGGGATCTTGCTCCATGCTGTTCCTTTCACAGGGTACAGTCGTACGATGCAGAGTAGCCATGAATAAAGTCCCATTTAGCCGCGTTAAAAAAATCGGTATGCAAACATCAGAAATAGATAGGCTTCAGCTTTGGCTTTCGAACGTGTTTCAAAAGTAGCCCAGATTCCTCAGGAGGAACAAAATCCCACATCCTTAACTACAGACAATTGTTGTGATACAAAGACCATGTAAGTCAACAGAAAGGCTCTCTTAGTCCTGGATGAAACATATTCATTCTTGCAAGTGGGGAATCAGGACTTGAACAAAACATGTCTGTAGACAGAGTTGGATTAAAAAATCCCATTAATTTGTGAGACACTTGTTTAGTAGTTATTCTTAATTTAATAAACTACTCTGAATCACTTTTCATCCTATGCTTAGAATAATTCCAAACTAAATTATTCGTGGGTCAACTCTGTCAAGCATGCAATTTTCACATTCCCTTCAGTAGTCATCAAGACAGGTTTTACTGATTTTATATTTTGCTTCAGGAAAAAAAATGTCATTTCTTAGACTTTATGCAGCTGATAATGAGGAAGATGAAGTTACACTCTGCATTTCAGTAACGCACAATGGAATCAATACCATATTGCTAACCACACAAATTGTTTGAACATAGACAGTGATGTTTTGCTCAGTACTAACCTGAATGCAGATGAAAGAATTTGAAACAAAGAATAATTGTTTGGGGAAAATCTCCTTACCCACAAGAGCAGAGATAATTCTCTTCCCAATTTCACCTTGGTTTAAGTGGGGTATGACTTTTTTATTTTTTTAAATTGAAAAATACCAGTTATCTAGGGAATGAGTTCAACAGATCTGGAAGCATTAAAAGGCTTCGGTAACTTACGATGGCCATTCCCAAAATGTAGTCTTTTCTCATCAGTGCCATGTTTAGACTTCTTGTATCCACAGAATCTACAAGCAACAGAGAAAAAAAAAATGTAGAGAATTTTATATGTTAAGGGCAGGTGGAAACAGAATAAAATGTTTTCCCTCCACAATTAAATGCCTGTTTGAAAGTTTAATGATATTTACATTCTTTGTGCCCTATAGAGGCATGTTATGTTCTCAGGGAATTTGAGGAAATTGGCTAATGAGAGGATTTGTTGATTTTTGACCCCTACAGTTTAATTTTACAATTGCCTAAGAATGTGTTTATAGCATTTTTTAACAACTGCTGCATGATTGGGGCTGCTAACGTTAGTGGGCTCATTACTGAGCACGAAGCAGTATTCAGAGCTCCTGGGCAGCAGACAAAGGAGAAAGTGCAAACCAGCCACGCTACCACCCGATGACACCCAATTTGCCATGCTCATCAAGGCCCCTTGGGGAAATGGAAGTGGGAATAAATGTGCAAATCAGACGATAAACTAACCTCCCAATCAAGATGTACACGACAACTGTGAGGAGAATAATGGCTACTGCCGCTGAAATGGCAATCATTACGACCTGGCTATTCTCACTGGAAATGGAGAATGCTGGAAAGGTAACACAAAAATATATAAATAACCCCTCCATGCACATAACATTGATTACATCACAATTGACACTCATATAGGGAACAGACAGATTAAGTCATCACTATCAGGCATCTGGTCTCCTGCCAAATATTTAATCTAGTAAGTAATTTTTCATCAGGCAGATAAAAACAAGGGAAGAAAACAGAAGACTCTGGCCATCTTTGACAAGTTACCAAAGTTGTTTCTGCTACTGCTGATTTTCACCCTTGCTGATTGTACTAAACTGCTGTTAAACTGACACATATATAAACATATACGTAAATACAGACGTACATACCATGACATATATATATTTTGTCATGGTCAGTAAGGAATTTTTCATTGGCAAGAAATCCCAGCCAGACAATCATCATCAACCTCTCACTTCTATATGATGGAAAGTGCTTTAATGAATTAAGCTTCCCACTTAAGCTTCATAATATCCCTGTGAAGGTTGTGAAAAGCCAGGGCACACAGAAGCAGACAGAAGGACTATCCATGGTTAATGAGTGTCTATAGAAAAAAGAATGGCTATTTTCTGCCTTATGTTGGATGCTTCCCTGTGGTCTCTAAGCATGGAGCTTCAGTGTGCTAGGCTGCTATACAATGACATGCCACTTCTTACGTGTCATAAACAAGCTTCAGCAGACACCTATTGAACTTAACTGAGCGTAGCAGAATTAGGCTCCTCAGCACTACGCTTCAAGTTAGCTGTCCCAACCGAGCTGCAAGGTAGCACTCCTAGTCCTCACAAATTAGACAGTTTGTGTACGTGACTGCTTGGAGTCACACCAGTCCCCTTGGGAAGAAGCCTCTGCCTATTACAGACCTACAACTGCACTCCATAGTTATGACCACTTGGCAATAGGAACAGAGTTATGCCATTTGTTGTCTGCGTAACTTGTATGCTCATTACTAAGATGTGCACCACTGTCTCCTGACACCTCCCACATTTTTGGACAGCTACTTTTTTTCTTTTTTCTTTTTTTAATATTACTTTGCAGAGAAAACTAATTTCTAAATTACGAGTTTTGTTATCACTACAACTGATTTTTTCTCCTTGCTGTATTTGTTTGTACTATCTTGAGTTACAGTTTCATCCAGTATGCCAAGCTACATGTCACCATTAACAGTGTTTTGTAACTACTTTTTTAAATAAGAAGCTTGTTTGCTTTCCAGCATAAGAGCTGAAGTGGAGGAGGGGGAAGTGGGGATGAAATACATAACATAGGCTCAAAAATACATGGATGCCAAGTGAAAGACATTTGGCCTGATGCTACTCTTCTCATTTAAAAATTTGTTGCTTTTAGCAGAGCACTTCTTACACCATGCGTTCTCAAGCCTTATCATAAATACATGAATAGGCTTTATAAGAGCATATCAGAATTATAGTCCTTAGTTGTGTTATAACTCTGAAGAGCAGATATGAGTCTTCTGTGAATGCCCGACCTTCTAAAAAGCAAACAGTCTTTGATTACGCATCATCAGTCTACATCAGTAACTGGGTACCTAAGCAAGGGATGACTTTTCGATGCATTAAGCCACTTCCATCTTCTAGTGACAAAAGGTCTGATTTACTATATAGTCCCAAGTGATGAGAAACTAACATTTAAGACTGTGAGCTCTATTAAGAGTCTTTCTGATACAACAATAGAACTTGTAAACAATACCTGTAAGGTTATCAGTTAAATAATGTTATTATCTAGGCATTAGAGAAAAGAATAAGGAGTGCCAGTACAGTAAATAACTTCCCCAAGGCCATCCAGAAATGTAGTGACAGAGAGGAGAAGGGAGCCAAATAGACCAAATTCCTGACCAACTACTCAACTGAATGACCATCCTTCCTGGCCTGTGGATATTATTTTCATCTCAAGACTACGTAGGAGACATCAGCAATGCTCTGCAGGAGTGTGGAGAATTACACACTGACTCACAGGAGTAATGGACCAATATAACATCAATTCTCTAGGAGCAGGGGTTTATAGTCCACAGGGTTCAGGCCACAAACTTGGAACAGTGTGAAGCTGTGAATGTGTTTTTCTATCAAACTTCCTCCCTTGGCAGGAGCTGTGGTCTAGCAAGGTATCGAGTCTGGCACAAGGCAGAGGTCAGGTAAGGAATGGAAGAAAATACCACCTGTAATAGTCATGGTAAACTCTTTATAGCATGCTTCAAGTTTAATGACAAAATATAAAGTTATATACTAACTCTACCCAGAAAGACACATCATAAATAGTTATGAACTGCATTTACTAAACTAGAAAAGGAGTGAAAGCAGTCATTCAAATCAGTTGGAAACTCGGCAGGATGTCAGTATAAACCATTAGAACAAATACATACAATCTGGACTGGTTTCAAATTCAAACTTGCGGCTGTTTGTCCCATATCCAGCTGCAGTTCGGGCTCGAATTTGGAAGATGTAGGTGGTATCAGGTTTGAGGCCACTGATGGTAACGTTGGTGCCTTTGGCTCTGAGAATAGTATAGCTTGTCTCTTGTTCCTGCTTTTGGGAAGAGAAATTATCAGATTAAAATCACACCCTAAAAAAGAGAAACAAGAGGTGGTTGGTACAAAATTACTACAGATCACCTGGAGAGCACCGGCATATTTTTTGAATATTTATAGCCTGACAAATGCTTGTACAGCCATTCATTTTCAATCAGCTAAACATCTTTTGATTAGCAAGAATCTAAATCATTAGGCCTTGTGCTGTAAATCAAATACTAAACATGCTGAGTATATGACATTTCATTAAATGGCTTTGTTTCATTTTGTCCATAGTCTGTAATACAACAAGAAAATGAAGATTAAAATGTTATTTAAAAACCATAAAACAGATTTGCGTACTGCACTGAACTGGAAGTTGTAACAGGCCAACGTGGACACTTTAGGGCCCTCCAGAGCTATTGCAGGATGCAGTTTTTACTGCCCCATATTTTACAAGGCAGTGTTTACCTTTACAACAGTCAGATGAGAAACTCCACTCGGGCTCCTCACCTCAGTTCTGCAAACAGGTGAATATAACTGGTTTTCTATTACACTATAAAAACTATGACATTGATGCATCCATCCTCATTTGGGCAAAACCCCACCGAACTCGCTCCTGCATGAGTCTTGGGCTTTTAGTAGCCAGAAAGGAAACGTGAGTTTGATCCTTACTGCTTTTTGCTAAAGAGCAAGGTGTGTTACAGTACAGATGATACCCTTGCAACCACACTCTGCTTAATAGTCACATAGCTCTGACATACTGACTTTTTATATAAAATAGGAAATGGATCATTTAGTAATTTAGTAAGTTCGGATACCCTTCACATCGTGTAAAACGCTAATTCTGATAAAAGCGTGTCTCAGTCCCACTGTAAGCACATAGTCTAAAAATTTAAGCATGCCTTTGAAGCCCGGAGGTATTGCTTATTTTAATAAAGCCATCCTGTGCCAAATGAGTATTTTTGGCTTCCTAAAAATGGCAGCTGGAACTGCCTCAGAAAAAAAATCTTGAACAGCAGCCACACATGTGGGGAACTGTGACAATCTCAGTTGCTTAGTTTTGCATTGATTAACTTTTTTATTCTGGAGGTGGTGGGGATTTCATATGCTGCCCTTTTTAATTCGAAAACTCTGAAATACACTAAAATTGTTGAGTCTTGCCTGGTTGAAAGCAGAAACCGAGTTAACATACATCAGATGCAAACAATCTCACCTAATTCACTCTATGTTTTATGGCATTGCATTAGCTTGCAAGGTACTGAGCTTTTAACTCCGACAACACTAGGTGCCGACGGTAGGGTGGTTGGAAAATACTGAGCACACTCATTGTCAAAGCCATGTCAACTTCACCTGAGACGTTCAAGTGACTAGAGCCAGTTTAGTGGGTTTGCTCTGCAGTGCTGTCTAGAGTAAGAAAGTTAGGTTTATTCTAAGTTAGCAGGTTGGCAAGAGAAACTGTTCACTTTGGTGCTACAGAAGCCTAACTAGCCAGTTCTTGGCAGTCTTTGACGTAGACAGAAATATTTACATCGTAGTTAGGGAAATTGCCAGAATCTCCACATAATATTCAACATAATGCACATTAGTAATCACAGTGAAAGTAAAAAAAAGCAGCTAAGCCTGTGCCTGAAAGTTACTATCCAGAATCAAAATCTCAAGTAGGGTGATACTTCTCTGAAAAAGTTTTCTGCTGGGAGAAAACTCATGGGAGAAAACTTACAGGAAGACATTCTAAGGAGCTAACAGGTTTGCAGCAAATTATTTATTTCTGAACTAACAAAGGCCTACTATTATAATTTGCAGGCTTTCCTTATCTCATCATTCAGTTGAATGTAGGCAACTATTTTAATTTCAAAGACATAATAATCTTGTCTCTAAAACATAAAATCTTTTGTGTATGCTATGACTGGACATTCATTTTGATCTCACTTCAGTCTGCTTTTATGAAACGCAAACATTTCCTTCTTGTGCAGATACATACGTGCAAGGGAAAATATAGTCATGGCCCTGTCTGTTAATAATCTGCAATGGAACTTGGAAAATAAACTTTTAATACAATGGTATGGAGGATGTCATGGTATCTTAGCTTATGGTAAGCGTTTTACACAAATATTTTGTAAGTCATTTTTTACGTTACTAGTAATCAAATCAGTGAAACACCACATAAAAGCCCAAGTTTATCTTTCTTGGAGATGAAGTCAAACTTCAGAGCCACAGAACTGTAGCTGCCATAAGCAGAAGGAACATACAAAAAGGAGAGTCAGTCTTTGCCAAGCAGAACTTTAATCAAACACTCTGATGATAAATTTGAACTTGGATGCACAAAGCACATTCTTCCTGAATATTTCTGCATAGTTTACCAGACACAGTCTTTACTGGGAAGCAAATCCCACTACCATTATTGCAAATGAGATTTTATAATTTTAAACTATGTTTTACAAAAGACCTGGTTTGGATTCATTTCACATTTATAGTGGCAGTACGAGTGAGAGTGAACAGCATGTCCTTTTTCAGATAGGCACACTAAGTGTTTACATAAGATGAGGAAGAACATCTTCTCCGTCAGCCGCATGTACACTTGAGAGGCCAAAAGCAGACTACCCATCTTCAAGAGCAACCCACAGCCTCGATCCTGCTTCCCCTCATTGCCAGGCGTGACCTGTTCGTCGATACGACAGTTCCTACCAGCCTGCTGGGGTGCACGTGGCCTACCTACCCTCAAAACCAGAATAAGAAGGGTTTAAAAGCAACTAAGTGCATTTGCATATAATTTACTTTTTCAGCCTCAGAAAGAGCACAAACTAGATAGCATTATTTATTTGTTGGCTTTAACCAGTCTACTGAGCACACAATTTCAATGCTGGCAAAGGCAAGTCTATTTTAGTAACGGAAGACTGCAATTAAATTTCACTCATTGTTTGCAGCAGACTTCACCTTAATGAAGCGTCTGGGATTTAGTCAGCATAATTGTAAGCCACATATTTAAATGAAGCAATTAATAGTTTGTGTGTGGTATTTAGGAGAAGGCTTTTTTTTTGTACCTTTGCATGACAAGATACTCCTTCCAGAGAACTTAATTATGTCAGCAAGGACAAGGAGGAAACAGAGTACCTGCTTGTGTAAGGAAAAACCCTGGCTTTTCTTATATGGGCACTTGCCGGCTGAGACACTTGAAGTCCAGCACGGCATTATATGGATGGAGTAAACTGGGGTGTCATTTGGTACCATTAACTTAACATAAACTGTTATGCCTTACCATAAAATAAATGCCAAGAAGTTCCATACAGAATTCCTCCTAAAGAGGATTTTCTTTCTTTTAAATGTTTTGAATAAATAGTAACTGGGGCCTCATAACCAGGCCCTATAGATTCTTATAGAAAATACAATTCTATTCTAAACAGTGAGTCTGCAAAACTGCCACTCTCACTTCATACTATTATGCATTAAAACCCTATAGGTTCATTCCAAAAAGTTAAAATAGTTTTCCAAAACTGTAGCTCCTAATTTCTTTAGAAACATCACATAAAGCTCTACCCTTTCTTTGCTACACAAGTGCGATCACTGATAAAAAAAAAGAATAGGTTAATTAATTACCTGTGCAGAAAATAAATGTTTTCCACATACCTTATGCCAATAATGCATTAGAAAAACTACATGATATTATAATTTAGATACAGGACATTCTGTTTTTATTCTATCATCCTGAATATCAGTAACATGCAGTTGCCCATAAATACCACATATTCTTTGAAATCTAAGAACAACCTAGAACAACATATCAAAGCAAAAAAAAAAAAATTAAAATTACATGGACAAGGTGTATGAGAAAATTGGGGTGGCCTGTATTAGTCTATTGATTCTGTATTAATTTCTAAGGGATTACAAAAGGTATGGCAAGTAAAAACAAGCAGGAGGGAAAAGAATGGCTCAACATAAATCATCTACCAGCAATCAGGTATGACTTCTCAGGAGAAATACCCAGATTGCTAACGGTGAAGGGTTTATTTCCTAGCAGCTGCCACCTAACAGCAGCCGTTTTTTTGATGAGCACAAGCAAGATGATTTCTGAAGCAGAAAATCAAACGGACTGGACCAGTTTAAAAAGAAAGCTCCCTTTTCAAAAGAGGAGGGGGCTGCTTAGAGAACTCAGAGTAAAAAGCAGCATCTTCCAAAGGTGTTTGGAGAAGGAATGAAGTGTAACAGTCCAGCACGAGGTGCTCCGGCTTCAGGTAAATTTAACAGACTAGTAGCTTTCAACCTTTTACAATTTACAGACCTAAAAAGGGCAATGGATGAAAGCGTCCTAACAATAGATTTGCTTTTCTTAGTTACCTTTCATATACCCTGAGGAATAGGCTTCTGACTCCCTGAGGGGCTGCAGCACACACATTAAAAACACTGGTGTCAGAAGGTTGTTTTTTTAAAAACCCTTTGCTCTAAATGGTCTGGCTTGTATTGTCAAGCAGTTGGCTCTCTGGTTTAAGAAAACTGTCTGGTGCATGTGAACTCTTGATCACAGACTTCAAAGGGAAGAAACACATGTGCAAGATCAGCCTCCTAAGACTGGTTGTCTTATGAAGCTGTCGTACGACAACCAGTTGCTCCACAAGACTGGATATCCTTGGGAACAGCAGCCGTGTGCTCAGTCTGTGCATACAACAGTACTGAAAGGTGACAATTTTCTTGAATAAAGCAAGCCAATTTCAGTGTAGAATGATGATCAAAACACCACAAAAAACCAAATACACAAATAAAACTTCTCGGTCGTTCAATTAAAATGAACTAATGCACACAAGGGGAAAAATTCTCTCTCTTTGGAGCAACTAAAATGCAACTAACGCCACAATGCGCAACGCAGCCCGTGTGTTACATCCTACACCCCGCAGTACTCATGCAGAGTCTCACAGGCAAGGACTTCCACTTGGGGAGACTGGAGGTGGAGTCGAGACGGGGCTGCCGCAGCTCTTGGAAAACAAAGGTACGGCCAACGGCAGCAAGAGCAGCCAGGTAAGTCTCAAATGAAATGCAAGTTAATCATGCGGACAAACGAGCTGGCCTGTGCGAACCAGGCTGAAGTTTTGGGATCTTTCAGGCGTAGGATCTTTGTGAGGTAAATAGCTCTTCCAAGCGATTGGTACTGCCAACTAAAAGGCAGTACCTCTTTTCTTAAAAAAATTTGGAAAGAAGTGATCCCAAGTAATTCCTGCATCCTTGCACTGCTGAGGATGGATGTACTAATAAAGAAGATCTGACATATGAGCTCATTCTCTTTCACTTCTCAAGCCCAGGATCCAGACTTGATCCTGTCCCCATTGAAATAACAGAAAAAACCCAAAGTGAAAGTCTATAGGCTACTGCTCTATAAGGTGAGACTGAACTGAATGTTGAGGAAGCTTTGTTTTTCCCCTTTTATCAGTATAGTACGTATGTTCAGATTTTTACCAAGGTCTTTGAAGCTTCAAGTGCTCACCAAAAACAACCCATGCAAAATCAGATGACATTAATTTGGGAGAAATCTTTTCAGAATACAGTCTTCTGATCCCCATTCTTTGGCTGGAGATCAGGAGTGGACTATCAATATGACATTGTTCCACTGGTAAGCTCCATCAGAAAACTTTCTAATGATTAACTGAATGCCTGTGGAGTCTTTTTAACAGTGGTTTCTAAGTGGATATTGGCAGTATGTCTTCCCCGGTACATAGAAATATAAGCCTGATTTCTAGGTATGAACAGCATTAGTAAATGATAAATTAAATCATTATTTCTGACATTTTTTCAAAGTTTGTCAACTTCAGTAGCAATATATTCTATCAAAAGGTCTCTCTGACCAATCTAAAAATGGCTAATACCGCTATT